ACACTCAAGTAAAACTTCGTTCTTCTTCCTCTCCAATTACACTCGAAATTATTAGCATCAACTCAACACAAACACATGGAAAAATGACAGTAAAAATAAATAAATATGGACGTGAGCCCAAAGCTCTTTCATGAAAGCAACAAATGAAACAAGAAAAATGTATATGATTATAAAGAGGGGAAACAGACTTACAAGCAAACACAGCAATCAAAGGGTTCAAAGATTTCTTGCGGTTCGTTTTCATCTTTGAATGCTTCGTTCTCCATTCTCGGGGCCACAGAGAGGGAAAGGTGATCAAAGACAGGGCTTGTAAAATATAAGAGTGATTTGTAAATATATTAATATTAATATTAATAGAGTAGAGAAAAAGTAGCATGATAATCTAATTTTAGAAAAATTTTAAAATTGTTTGGTGAATTAAAAAAAAAATTGATAACAAGAAGTGATAAATTATTATGGTAATGAATCTAAAATATTGTAAACACCAAAAACAAACTCCAAATTTAATTAAAATAAAGAAAATATGATTAAATAAATCAATTATTTTTATTTGTTTTAAATAACACAATGGCTCCGTCCTGTTTTAACTCACTTCCAAAAATAGAATAAGATGATTGGAAAACAGGTTATAAATTACATGTTGTCTTGCTGAATGACCTGTCGACCAATATTTTTTTATAACAAACTTTTATATATTTTTTTTAAATATAATTTTAAATATATGAAAAGTTTTTAATTATTTATTTATTAATTAATATTTATTAAATAAATTAAAAATTATAATATTTTTATATCCAAATAACTAATTTATAATTTAATCTTAAATAGTTAATATTTATAATTTAAATTATAATATTATAATATATTTATAGATTTTAATAATATGATATAAAAAATATAATATTTGTATTTATAATTTATTTATTTTAATATATAAATATTTTTTAAAATAGATCAATGGGTCAGTTTCTCCTATTCTTAACTCACTAAGTTAGTGGATTAGGTGAAACTAGGGCTGTCAAAATGGGTGACCCAGTCTCTTTAGTCCTACGGGTTAAGTAAAAAAAAATATAATGGTCCAGTTTAGCCTATACTTTAAAAATGTTAAAATTTTTTGTCTAACCTGACCTTATATTAGGCCAACAGGTTAATGAGTCATTTTTTACTTAATTAATTTTTTTTATTTATATAAATGTTTTAATTTTGTTTAAAAAGAAAATATTATTTATTTATTTATTTAAAATTAACTCATAACCTATTTAATCAAATATATAAAATAATGAAAATGAGTTGTTACATGTTTTAGAAGTTATAGTTGTCCATCCATAAGAAGTCAAATATATCCTATAACATGTTTTTTAGTTTTTTTTCTTTTTTGTTAAATACACCTTGTAAACCTCTCTATTAAAGTGTTTCTAGTAATTGATTTAAAATTTGTATTCAAAACTTCATTCACTTCTCAAATTCCCTCTTACTCAACGTAGTTAAATTAAATATCATTATTTAATAATACATTTAACAAGTGCATCTTATTAAATTTTAGAGTCAAATTTTTGTTACTTCATCAAGCTAGTCTTATTATCCAATATCACTCACATGATATTTTGGAAATACACTACATCTAAGAATATGTTGTCTTAAATTATTGGTCCATAAAAACAAATATGACGACAACAACAGTATAGAAAATGATGAACAAAGCAGATAAAAATTATGTTTAGAGTTTATTATTATTTTTAAATTATATATATATATATATATATATATACATATTATCAAATTAATTTATTATACGTATGTTTTCTAATAAAACAATATTATTTTTTATTTTATTTATAAAATGATTATTATTTTATAAAACGGACTAACTCATAAACTTATAGACTAGTCTTGCCTAAGCCCATTTAGACTTGACCTAAATAGGTGGAGACAAAATTTTTCTAGTTCTATTTATATCATAAATTTTTTTACCTAACCTGATGTATTTTTTATACCTTTCAAACTATTCATCCAATTAAAACCATTTTAACACTTTTAGGTGAAACAAATCAAAATAAGATAAAATTATAAAATCAGTCCACTATTTTTAAGATCGAACATTTCTATACTTATTTTGAATGTAATTAAACCCAATTTAGGTAACTAAATAAATTACTAATTTGATAAAGAAAAATATCATTAAATTTTATTTGTTAATATTTAATGGTCTATTTTAAAGAATTTAAATATATTATACTGTCTCTATTTAATGATAGATAAAAATAGTCTCTAAAATAACAAATTATGTTATAATTAATAGTAATACTAACGTTACTAATATAACATACCATTTAGAAATAAAATATTAAAATATACTTACGTATTTTTTATTTTTAAATATTTTTATTTGATTCACCATGAATGTTATTTAAATAAATCTTTAATAAAATTATATGTTGATTAAAATAAATTTTGTGATATAATATAAAATTATATGTGGATTAAATTTAAAATAATTTTTTTATTAAATATATTATCTCATTATATAGAAAAAGAAATATATTTTCTATTATTAATAATATATACTTTATACAGCATTATATTTCTTTTCTAGTAAATATTATCATATCAAGATTTTTCTAATAAAAAATTTGAGCAAAGGTAACGCGATATATTACAATAATTTTAATCATCAATATATTAAAAAATTATCTTTAAAAAATATTAAAGAAATTTTTCTACAAGAATATAAAACAATTCTTACAAATTTCTAATTTAAAATCATATAAAAAAATATTTGTTATATTTTTTATAATGAAATTAAAATATTAATTAAGAGAATGTAATTATATACCTTTTTCTTGAATTTTTTTAAATATTTTTTTTATATAACAAAAGAAAATAAGAATGGATAATCATGGGTTGATATACTCATTATTATAATCATCCTCGAATCACAATTAAGAGAACACCAGACATTTAATTTATATTTTTAATTTTTCTAAACTAAATAAAATTAGTTAAAAAGATAAAAGACCTCGATAATAAATTATGTTTATTTGAAAAAAAAATCATGTTTCTAAAAAATACAATTATTTTCATTTTATTAATATTTTAAATTTATAATGAGAAATAAATATTATCTTTATAAAAAATTTATCATGTTTATTTTATTATTCTATTATCATTTTTTTAACATTTTTAAAATCAATAAAAAATAATAAAAACAAATGTATTATTTGATTAATTGTTATATTTATATATATATTATATATATATATATATATATATATATTATATATATATATATATGTTTTGCTTTACATTTCATAAAATATTAATTATTTTTTTCGTCAAATATTATTCAATATTATAATTTATTATACTTTTCATTTTTAAAAGCATAACTAATTATTAATATTAATTAGGTTGTAACGATAGAATTTCAATTTCAATTTTCACAATAGCTTTGTCTCGTGTTGCATAATATCTTCCAATTTTGATTCAATTGCAAAACTGAATGTGCAAAGGCGATTGAAAATTTTGAAACATGAAAATGAAAATTCCTTGACATTGGAGATTTTTAAACTTCAAATAACGAACTAGAGAAACCGAAGTTAATTTAAAGCTCATCATGTATAAGAAGGTATCTATTAAACCATATTGTTTTGTAATTTATGCATTTTTTTCATTCATATTTTTAGTTTTCTTTTCTATTGTTCAACAAATTCAATACAACATGTTAATTCAATGGAAAAAATTGTTTCAATCGATAGTGTTTTTCTTCAATCATTCTTTGCATGCTCAATTCTTTCAAATTTTTTATCCTATTGTTAGCTCTTTTATAGACATTCATCATAATCATTAGGGACGAAAATAGATAAGAAACTATACATACATCAATTTTTTATTCCCATCATCGTTTGTTTATTGTTCAATCTCTTATTAGATAATTATTTTTTATTTGTTTATGCAACAACACCTTCCCAACATTATTTTTTACTTTTTTGGTCATCGACTTTTCTATATTATATAAATTTGAAGCCTTAATAATCGTGCATAAATCACGATATTTACTAATTTTTAAAATGATGTTACATCAAATTTTTTTCACATCTAATTTATTCTATTTTTTGGTATTGTCTATAGAGAATTTTAACATACCAATTCATAACTCTTTACATTGATTATTGTTTATAATAATTAATTCATAATGAAATTTTGGAACCTTCAGTTCATATTTTTTTATTTAATAAAAAATTATTTTAAATGTTTCTGTATATACTTTTATCTTCTTTTTTCTCTACTTTTTAACTACTATAAAAAAAAAGGTTATTTTAACTATTATATATTTACATAAGTATCCATTAGTTTGCTAGATATTGTTATTTTTATCTTATAAAACATATAATTTAGTTTTCATATTAATTTAAACAAATTTATCCTAATTTTTCATAATTTTTTAGTATTTTATTTCTGTAAATTTAATTATTAATGGTTTGATCATCATTCAATCAGTATTTAACCATTAAACCTTATAACAATGACTTCAAAAGTCTAATTTTAAGAACAATAATTGAATGTTACAAATTTTGAATGTTAACATACAAAAAACGAAAACAATAGTTAGGTTACAATTTTTTATTTGTTAAAAATAGACAATAGTTTTACATCTTCCATTGTGTGTAAAAAGTTGTTGGAAGACAAAATTCACATTAATGACGTTGGAATTATGAATTTCCTTCTATTAACTTTAATGACACTTGTTGAACACCAAAAATACATATATATTCCAAAGGAGAAACCCCTTCGACTCATTTATAGAATTCATTCAAAAACTGATGCTTGTCAGGCAAGAATATAATCTGGCAAAAACTACCAGACACATGAAACCAAATTTTAAAAGACTAAAATCTATCTCCAATACCCTTGCAAATAGCAATGATACAGAAGGTTCCTAATCACCATGTGATGATGATAATCAAGACAATAAATTTACAACAGTGCACCTGAATCTAGTGTCATTTGAGCAAGACGTCCACCTTAATTGAAGTGTCTCTTATGATAATATCCCTTCCGTTATCAGCCTTTAGATGATCAAGACTATTTAGTCTTAATCTAATGTGTAATGGTAGCATGAAAATAAGATCTCTCAGATCACCTTTAGATTGCAATAAAAAAGCATTCCACAAATCTCTCTCTATTTTCCCACATCTCTTAGAGGTCAGAATATCAACTATCCTTGCTGCTTCTTCCTCCCGGTTTCCTTCCTTTGAGTTAGGGATTCTTTTAAGTTTGCAATACAGTACAGCATATATTATAACCTGCATAAAAGGAAAGTAAAAGTCAAGTAAAAACTCTTTGGAGCAGCTCATTGTCTTTTCTATATTAATGTCTTAGGACACTGGTAATTGAAAGAAGAAAGTTTTTATGTAAGAACATTTTTGAAACAAGGACTAATGTACAAGATGAAAAATACTTTTAGGAACTTTTCATTTATTTATTAACATTTAAAGCCTAATTTACAAAATTATATACTTTCAACTACTGAAATATAATTCGGCCTTAAAGTTTACTTCCCATGTACAGGCATGGTTATTTTACGTAATAGCTACAGAATAGAAACACACATGGACCTGAAAAATGATACAATGTTCAATAGCCTTTTAACTATTAATTCCAACAGGAGAATTATCCAAGTTATTGTATAAATTGATGTATTCTTGACAAATTCAACGGAAATTTAAGAAAATGTCCCATTCTCATTCCCATCTTGTTATGTTGCTTCTAAAATGATAATCAAATGACATACCTCACTTGTTCCAGGGCTGGTACAGACCCCACAGCTCATGCGGACTTTCTCATCTTCCACAATTGAATTTTTATCCAGATTATCATCTTGAACATTTATTTCATATTCAGGTTTTGGAGCGGCAAGATAATCTAATTCGTCATACCACTGTTGTGCAACGCCAGCCTGTACCAAGAAGAAATTTAGTTACGGAGAATGTAATCAGACTACTTCACTAAGGAAGTTCCCATTTGCAAATGAACCTTGTATAAGGATCCTGGAACCTCGTCCATTCCAGAAATTTCAGTAGCTGCACCTCTTGCTTGACACCAAATACAGGATTCTTGTAAAGGTTCAACAATCTCAATATACATAGGAATATCAACACTCAAATGTATGTCAATCCTTCCTGTGACACATTGCACAAAAGTTGTAGATCGCCACAAATAATTAAGTTTGTTTTAAGATTACATTGTTGTTGATTATTAGTATAAAACATAAGAATTTAGAAGATATAAGAACAGCTCATCTAGATGATAATCCTTGATATATTAACAAGTCTACAGAAAAGTATTATTAGAAATATAGTACCATAATCTGATTTTATAAACTCCAATTATAGTGGCTGCTGGGCCCGTGAGCCCCGAGTAAGCCTCTAGGCTGTTTCAAAATCTAAGGCTGCCGGCAGGCCCAAAGTATTCTTCTAGACTGTTCAGTTAGTTTGAAGCCAGCTGGCAAGTTTGGGAAGTCACTACAAGGTTTGTTTTATGTATGGACTTAGAGTATTACGGGTTGTTGTCTAAGTCCTTTATCGAATAGTATGAGCTGTTTCATAGAAAATTAAGTGTTTGGTTCTCCCCACTAAATAGTTAGCTTTTATGAGAGGATTCCCCAAGTGATTGAATGTTTATCAATTGGTATCTGTGTTGGTTGATAGTGTCTCAGAAATTATTACCTATAGAAGGTTCTGACTAGTGGAGGGTTCTGGCTAACAAGAAAGTTGAATGAAGCATCATCACATAGTAAAGAGTAGTGAATCGTATTTGTATCAAATTGTCAGATTCAGGTACAATGGAAAATAACTTCAGATATATCATATAGATTACATATGTTTTAATATAAACAATTTAACTGGAAATAGATAAAATAGCTTGAACAGAACTCAAACAAAACAAAACTATTAGATAATAAAATGTGTTTTTCTTAGTTACTCTCAAATCAAGAAAGGATATCTTGTTTCTGCTGACGTCACTGACTTTGTTAGTTCCACTAATGAACTATTACACATTTTTACAAAATCTCTCCAGGGTTCTCAAGTACATTATATTTGCATTGCGGTTGACTCATATGACATAATGCTTTAGCTTGAAGGGGAGGGTAAAAGATCTTTTTATTAGAAACTACTATGTAAAGAAACTAGTAATTATGACATTTTTCAGATTTCCAATAAATTGGAGTTTCAATTTTCTTTTGTTTTTCTCTTTTGGGGTACTTGGATAGCAAAATATTGACAAAACATGTCATGGAAGATGTTAAACACTTTGATACCAAGCTGAAAGAGAGGGAACAGCATTCAAGAGATGGTATAAAAAACTATGCGTAAGAACTAAAAAACAGAGTTCATTCTATGTAAGTTGATTACAATAATAGAAATAATTATAGGAGATCCAGATATCTCAAACTTGTAAAGATCCTAATTAAATATTGAAACAAATCACTTAAGATATCATTTAAGAAACTCCAAATCAAGATAATATCATCAGATATTTCTATAAATGTTGAAACTTTAAATTGATAAATATAGAGTTTTAAAATGTAAAATAACCTGGTAGCAAATCAAAATGTTCCAGATGATCAATTGGTGTACCCGAAAGTCCATTTCCACTGTCAAACCAGTATGATGAAGAAATTAGTCCTTCCATTAGAATTGAGAAAAGAATAGGCTCATGCATATCTCCAAACGGTAGCTCATGGGAAAAGGATTTCCCAAGTCATTACAAGGAATACTACATCCATACTCCTAGCCAATGTGGCATCTTAACGCATCTCTGAGACTGTGACTAGATATTTGAACATGAAGTTTGCAAGACTGGACAAGTATGACATAACATTAATAATAGGCTTTGACCTAACTCAATGCCAAAGCTTACTCAACGGAAAAGGATGGCCCAAATGATTAAAAAATACTATGACCATAGGCCTACCAAATGAATGATCTTAAATGTTTCACTGGAAACAATCTTACATGTTGGCATGCACATAAACAAAAAAGTAAGATTCTGAATAAAAGAAATCTATATAAGTTTTATGACAAAACTTACACGGCATAAAATGTCTCAAGGGGGAAATTCAGCCAATAAGGTAATCCAAGTATCCCTAAATTGGATAATCTGAAGTTTGAACAGACCCCAGATTCTCCATTAACCTTCAAAATCCTCTGTGCAACTAGTGAGACAACAAAAATTGGGAGTGAATAATCTCTACAATTGCATCCACACAACAAGATAGCATTGACTAAAAAAGGAGAAAGAATACCTGGATCACAAATGAAAATGTGATTATGCAAGGTTGCCAGTGAAGATAAAAGATCAGACTGTAACCGGCCCCCAAGCAAAAAGTCATTCTTAGTTTCCTGTTGAAACCAATCAGAGGGAATCCGATCTATGATGGATAAACGTTCCATGATTGGCTGTCCACAGATCTCAAGAATTCTAGGAGAACCTAAAAAATTAACAGGATCCATCAGTTCTAGCTAGACAAAAGATTGTTTAAACAAGCAACCATGCAACCATTATTGAATCAAACCTTCGAGAACTTCATCTATCTTTCCCGAATTGATATCCATGATCCACAAAGTTTGAAACCTAAAAGTAACAATGATGATATCAAGGTAAGACAGGAATAAGCTAACTTGAACCAATGTCCAAGCAGCAGCCTCTACTATCATTCTTAACCAAAGACTATTTATAAAAAAAAAAAAATTTGAAAAAAATCATGATGTTCAACATAATAGAAGATTTGAAATTTAATTAACAATGAGGCACAAGGGACATTGTCAAATTATTCTAAAAGAGTTAGTGTTTACCCTCCTATACTTGAGGGGTTCTGCCATTCCACAGACTAAAAAGATCCACACTAGACATTGACTCTTGTTTGGAGTAATAGGAAAAACTCAACTCCTCAGTTAAGTTGGACAGAAGGACTTGAGCATTTCACATGTAAATATATTCTCTCCACTGTTATTCACCACTTCAAAACAGAATGATGAAATAAATAGCAATATCAATTCCTATCTTAAATTTGACTGAGTTTCAAGTCAGTAATAATGGTTGCAGCAACCATGTCAAGCATAAAAATGAAAGAAATACAGTTTATCTTCACTTCTACTAGGTTGTTCTTGACAAAATTAACACCAACATGGCCTATGAAACAGTAGTTATCATGATAACAAGTCAGTAATACTTTATGTTGAATATAGAGAAAATAGGGTTTGAGATTAATCTCCCTTATATATAAACCATACATAGGGTAATCCATTTATAATAGAGAGAGGTACAACTAAAAAAAGTAACTAAAAAATAATTAGAGTAAATAGAAGATATTGTTTGATATTGTGATTAACAATATCTAATAATATCTTAACAATATCAAACAATATCTAAACAATATCTAACACTTTACATCTCAATTAACAATTCTGATTTTAATGAGCAAGTGTTGGCAAGAAAAGTGTTCTGGTTCCATCATTATTCAAATTATTGCCTCCTGTCAATATTGTAAACATGTTATTTTTTTCTAAAGTGTAAATCAAAACATGGTAAGGTGCTTAAATATACACCCTATTAGATGTTTCTATTCAGTGTGTTGAGTTACAAAAAGATATTATTAATTATTGTAGGTGGTAGAGCTCTTATTAGTTATGGTAGGTGGTAAAGCTCTCTATACAATGTCATTGCCTGTATTGTTTGAATTAAGAAATTAGAATCAGAGTTTCTGTTTTCTTTCCCTAATCCTTTTTCAAGTACTTGTAATTACAAGCATTCAATATTTGTGTTTTCAATATAATGAATGTTTTCCTTTAAAAGCCTCTATATTTTTCACTTCTTAACATTTGTCTACACAACACACAAACTGTTGATAAAAAGGGTAAGAACAAATACAGACCCAATGAAAGACTAGTAACTTTCTGTCATTCTGATGTTCCTATATTGTGCAATTAATGAAAACATTTTGATTCTATGATAGGTTTATGTATTTGAAGGAATCACATCCAGTGAGTAAATAGTTATAAGCATAAGGAACAGATGTTGAAAGAGAGGGAGAGAAAGATAAAGAAAAGACCTCAACAGATTTGGGTTATCTATGTGATGAAGATTATTTTTTCTCAAAACTCCTATGCAGACACAGCAGACAAAGAAAAAAAATAAACAAATAAGGGTGTGGCCATGGCCATGCCATTCTTACACGACAGTTTGATTGTACTGAAAACATCAGGTGATCTGATCAAGGCTTTGAAGTTTCTTCATGATAGATCAATGGATCCAAAACAAAATTCAGGTTGCAGTGAAGGAGTAGAAGGCCTAAGCTAGAGCTTAGATGCATATACAAAGTAAACATATAAGTGGTAAAGGTATGAGTTATTCAGAGCATAAATGAGAAAGAATATAGATCTGATACATCATACAGAAAGAGGGGACATTATATTCAGTTTTAGTTTTTAACTTAGGACCATCCAAGAATATCCTTGTCAGGGAGCAACTACGACTATCAATAAAATCTCCCTTGATAGATAGGAATTGTTTCCTATTATCACAGGTCTTTGAAACTTCTAAAGTCAGGCAAGGGCCTAGGGGGACTGGGAGTTCATAGCATTTCAACAAAAAGGTAATGAAAGCACTTATCCACCTTCGGTCAATAATGTAGAGAGTGCCATCAACTGATTTAAGCAAATGCCATGGAAAGTATAACGATTTAGAATCAAATAAATCATATCTTTCCTCAACACTGGTCTTCCCACTGCTTTCTAAACCAAGCTTAGTCATGATCCAATTCCATATGTGAATAACTCCCTTGTTAGTGGTGCTTGTAGGATAGAGAGTTTCTACTGTTCGTGCTTCCATGTCAGCTTTCCTGATTACATGGTTCTTAGAACCAAAATAAAATAAATAATAAGAAACAACGCTACATGTTAAATCAATCAACTAGCATGGTTCTTAGAAAAGAACCAGAATAAAAGAAATAATAAGAAACAGTCTATCACTACGAGTTTCCAATAAGCCACAAAAGAAACCACTGAAATACTTGATGCCTACATCCAAAAGTCCCCCAAAACTTGAGAATTTTTCCTTTCACTAAGAAATTATTGGCCATCGGTCTTCAGTTATATGATGAGAAACCTAATTATTCAGGTCTGTTGTTCACCATGTAAAAATCTTGAGATCTTCTAAACCAGGCATAGCTACAAAACGTCTGTTATACCAAACAGTTGTAACAAAATTTGATTTGTTTTTAAAAGAATATTATTTTAATAAATAATTAACCAAATAGACATAGGCCACTTTATTTATCCAAATAGATCGTTTTATCGTACATGTTTAGAATTTGGTCTTCGGTGAACCGTATTTGACCAGGGCCGTGTCTACATGGCTTCTAAAATGTAGTCAGAATTTGATTCCTCGGAACCATTCTCTAAACCGCAATTTGTCTTTTTTTTTTTTTTTTGCATTCCAGGTACTTTTTTTCTAAAATAATATTATTTAAATAAATAATTACCCAAATATAGCCCGGACCACTTTATTTATCCAAATAAACATGTTTCCTGTGCACATTCAAAATTCAATTCTTGGAGAATTGAATTCAGAATAGGGACACATCTACGTGACACCAAATATGCAGTCAAAGTTCAGTCTCTGATGACCGAATTATTGATACATAAATATATATACCCAGAATGCAAAAAAAAAAATTGACAAATTCCAGTTTAGAATTTTATCCCACTAGAAACAAATTCTGACTACATTTTCAGTACCACATAGACACGTCTATTTGGGTAAATAAAATGATCTAGGATATATTTGGGTAAATATTTATTAAAATAATATTATTTTAGAAAAAACTCACAAAAACTTCAGCTTATAAATTTAGAATAATAACATTTTTTTATTCACTCTCCTAGTTGTTATTTCTTTACCATGTTATGGGAACAAATATCTATTAGCTTTGTGAATTACTAGTCTCCATTGAAAACCTATCTTATCTCCTTTAGTATAATCTTCCCACCCAGCTATTCTTTTCCATCCACAAGCCTCAAATATAGAATTTTGTCTATCACTACATACTAGGTATTATAATTTCATTTTCTCGTGTTTCTTATGTAAAGAAAAAAATTTCGTCCTTCAAGCAATTGACATTAGAAACATTTTTATGACTAAATCAACAAAAAGTTAAATTATTTATGCAGAAAAGTTAACCTCGTGTTTTAAAGCAATCTAGACAGAACTGTAGATAAACTTTGAAAGGGATAATGATATTTGATATTTAAATTAATGTATATACATCCAAATGCATACCTCTGAATCCACAAAATATAGGCAATCCTCAGTAGGATCATAATATGAACCTGCAGGACGCCTTAATTTTGCAGATTCAAAATCTCCATCCTCAAATCCAGGGGAAGATCCAATCTGGAAAAGAGACAACAAAATGTTATTCTGAGAAACAACCAAGCATAAGTATGACTATCTAGGTATTATGATTTTTTGTGATTATGTTTTTTGAATTTGTGCACCAATATGAGTGGGATGCCAGTTATTTGGTGACATGCTTCTTTACAATAAAAAAAAAAAAATCACTCTTTTAAGAGAAATAATTAATTTATAATAAGTTTTTTAAAAGCATCTACTTATAATCAAATTTCGATTGTTTCATTTTTCTTTTTATTTTGCAAAATTAAAACAAAAACAAAACCAATAAAAAAAATAATTTTTTGATAAAAACTATAACAAACTGGCCCAATATTTTATTTGTATCTTAAAATATTTTAGAATAGCTCATGATCTCTTCAAGTGACTTCCTTTTACATTAGAATTCATGAATTGTTTCCATATTTAATTATTAGAATTGGGAATGTATTATTAGTGTTGAAAGAGATTAAAAAAAAAAGATGTAAGAAATCCTAAAAATCATGTATCTAAACTACAAATCAGAGTTAGTTTTATATAGGCTAATTGCAATAAATACAAATAATTATACAAGATTTTATTCCTATATACATAATGGCATGACAATAAATCAAATTCCAAAAATCTGACTATGATTAAATGTGCCTATTATATAAAAATCATAATTAAAATAAAGAAACAAATCATAAATATAAAAGATCTACAAATGCTAAACAATTTATTTCCGAGATAGAAACAGAAAAACTAAAACTGAGCTCCACCAAAGAAAACTTGTTTGAAAGGATAGGGATGCTAGGAGAAGCTGGAGAAACTTGCAAGAAATATAGGTTTGTCAATAGCTAGAATAATGTTGAGTATTTTTTAGATTAGTTGTATCTTGTTGAGCATTTATGAGCATTTATGAGATTAGTAGTATCTAACTATAGACCTAGTTCCTAGAATGCATATGTTTATCTTCTCTAAGTTTAATCATTTCTCTCTATTAATTGTATCTCATAATCTGTATCTTTATCTCCTGTAAATAAGAGAACACGAGAGAATGATTTCAAGCTCTCAAAAACATTTCTTTATTCTCCTATTATCTATTTCAAGTTGGTATATATCTTTATTTTCCTATTATCTATTTCAAGTAATAACAATTAACCTAAGGAATTTCTTGGCAAGCAAAGCAAGGTCTTGCCATATCAAAACCACATTTGGAAGCTTCAAACCAATAGTATTGTCGGAGGGAAAGAAGTCACCACTAATTATTATTCATGTGTTAAGAGAGTCACCACTAATATGAGCATGAAGTTTTAGAAATACTCATATCCTTTTAGTCACTAGACTCCTTCATGTGCCAAACTTAGTGAAGGATGAAAACCAAACTAAGTAATTCAAACATAAAAAGTAGTTGCACCCCTTGTGAAAAAGGAGGAGGTTGTAGCATTTGAGGAGGAACTAATGGTAGAAGTGGACGTCCTTAATGCTAATACTAGAAGAGGATGGGTTATAGCCAGAAAAATTACTATTCCTTGCATGGCTTTCTAGACAAGGCTGCTTTTATATCTAAATCTAAAAGATTAAACTCCAAAGTTTCTAATGAAGAGTACCAAGATTTTTCAGATTCAAATCTAAGAAATCCAATTGCTAAAATCAATCTTCTTTTGTGCTAAGTGTGTTAACAACATGTATTTGTGAAAGGTCATAGTCTATGGATTCTTGACTCAAGTGCCTTTAATTACATCTCTAATAATAGTTCTTCATTATCCTTCATTTCTTCATCACAATTTCATCATCTTATCAATGTTGTTAATGAATCCAAAGACACATATCAAGGAATTGGTCAATTTTCTTTGTCTCCTTCATTAAACATAAATTTTGTGTAGTTGATTCCTCATTCTCTTTACACCTTAATCTCTTTAAGCCAATTGTTCATTAAATTGATTTGTAGCTATTGATGCTAACTCCTTTGTCATACATGAGCATGGTACAAGTCAGATGCAGGGCATGTCCCACCTTTGTCTCACTAAAAATGAGCCAGGACCGGTTGGCTTGCTATAGTAAGGACGAGTTACAAACTCTAACCCGCCCCTCCACCACCAAAAAACATGCTGGTAGGCTAGCTCACCACATTTTTTTAAAATAATTAGTATGTTGTCTTTTGAAATTATTATTTTTTTAATAAGCTTAATAATAAGATCTCTATTTGTTTGTCAACAATCCAACAACCTATATATCTCATGTTAATAATATACTTTAACAGGTTCAGTTAAGAAATTGAAAATTAATACAATCAAGATCATATTTATACAATAATAAATAACAACAAATACATACAAGTCATGTCAAAACTTGTGAAATCTCTCTTTTCCAAATATTGGAAAAATCAAATACCCAAAATAAAAATTACATAATATTTTTTCATTTGGTAAAACTTCAAGTTCCTCTTTGAGAGAGAAAAGTGCTTATAATGAATAAGACTTTTTTGTTCCTCTTTTCATAAATTATAATAAATTTCCCTAAAGTTTTATCACTTATATGTTGTCTTTGTGACTATGTTCGCTTATAATAAGATTTTTATCACTTATAATAAATTTTTTATCACATATAATAAGATAGCCTTTGTTCGCTTATTCATAGTCATGGCTCCTCTTCAATGTTGGTCACATTATCAATTGAATGTCAAAAATGTTTTTCTTTATATGTCGTCTCCATAAATCTTTATATGACCTCAAACTGTCTACTAGGGCTTGGTTTGGCAAATTTGGCACTATTATTCCATAACGTGGTATGACTCGAACAAGGCAAATCGTTTAGTATTCTATTGTCACTCTCAAGTGCTTGATGTATTTATCTAATAATATATGTTTAAGATATTGTATCTACAAGCAGCAATCACCATGGTATCTTACAAGTGAAACAACATCTTTGTCACCACTTTCAAACCAAAGAACTTGATAAACTCAGGTATTTCTTAGGGATTGAGGTAGCACAATCCAACAATAGAATTGTTATTTCTCAAAGGAAAGAAGCATTAGATATTTCGGAGCAAGTTGGGCTAATGAATTTAAAGTTTGTTGACACATCCATGGACCCCAATGCCAAACTTCAACCCAATCAGGGAGAGACACTCTCATCCAAGAAGTATAGAAGATTAGTTTGAAAGTTGAACTATCTTATCATTACTCACCTTGACATTTCTTTTGCAGAGTCGATTTCTTAGTTCTCCGTATACAAATCATTGGAATGTCGTCATTTGTATATTAAAGTATGTTACAAGTTCTCCTAGAAAAGGTTTATTATATAGATACAATAATCACACTAAAGTTGTATGTTATTCAAATGTTGATTGGGCATACTCTCAATCTAATTCTTAGGTCACTCTTCTATTCAATTCATTTCATCATAATCTAGTATTCAAAATATTATGAGTTATTAGCATAGAAAAACAAGCCAATAAAGGAATTGAAATCAAAATTCATCTTGAATTGCACTTAATAATTAGTATACATACACAATCTAAAATCTCTCCATTGGCATCTGATACAAGAATTCTATGATGATTGCAATCAGAAAAGAAAAGGCGATCATGACTTTCATCTGTGGAGACAGAACCCGCAAAATAGGCCAAAAGTAGTTGTAGTTTCTAATTAGTTTTAGTAAAAAATGAACTATATACTTAAATATAAGTTATTATCTCTAAATATTTCTAGTTATTAGCTAGTTATAAACATTCCTATTTAGTTTCCCTTTACTAACCCAAATGATATTTCAAACCTTCATGACTATTAACATGAATGTCTCCCTAAGAAAAGAACTAACTAGTCAAGGCAATAAAAGGACTTGAGAATATTAACATGAATAACCAATATTCTTATGCATATATTTATTCAAACAATTGTATTAATTATATATAAAGGACTTGAGAGTTTAAAAAGAAAAGTGAGTTTCCTTGTATGACACTATGTTGTATATATATATATATATATATATATATATATATATATATATATATATATATAAAATAGGTAACAATTAAGAATAGGGGAAGGAAAAAAATAACAATTTTTACTCTACAAAATGACATAATATATAATCTAAAATGTAAATCTACCATATAAGTTACTCTACCATATAAGTTATATGCATCAAGCTTAAAACATACAAATTGAATTAGGGACCCTCATAAAGACTTGGTCAAGATATATACAAGTTAATTATTTGAGTCGGACAAAATTAGTAGAAATTTCCTTGGATAGCAACTTCTCTCATATCGATCTCTACCTACTTGGTTCTTTACTGGAAAAATGGGTTAGAGGCAATGTGAAGGGGTGCCTAACTATTACAATATAACATCATTTATGGAATATCACAAAATCTTAACTCTTGAAACATTTAATCAATACCTATTGACAAGTGGTTGTGGTCATAGTTCCATACTTGCTTCTACACTACATTGTGTAACAACATTTTGTTTCTTATTCTTTCAATCAATTATATTACTTCCAAAGATATTTCTTATTCTTTCAATCAATTATATTACTTCCAAAGATATACAATACCGAGTAGTAGATTTCCTATCCAATTAGTATCATAATACCTAGAGAGTGAGTATCACCTTTATCCTCATTAAACAAACCTTCACCTAGAGTCCTCTTAATATGCCTAAGAAAATGAATCGTAGCAATCTACAGAACAATATGGGGAGCTTGTATATATTCACTTACAACCTCAACTGTAATTGTGAGATAAATGAATTTCCCCACCAATCTTCTACATCTCTCTGATCTAAATATGGCTCACCCTATAATCAATCATACTTGTTATTTCCAACATATCAAAAGCATTTTTTGTTTTGTGAAGAATACTCCTTTCCTTTGATTGAGCCACTTTTATGCCAAGGAAGTATTTCAGGCAACCAAGATTCTTGGTCTAAAAGTAACTAAGCAAGTGTTGATTCAAGTGAAAAGTTTTGGTAGCATCATTTCCTATAATGATTATGTTGAGTATTTATTAGATTAGTTGTATCTTGTTGAGCATTTATGAGATTAGTTGTATCTAACTATAGACCTAGTTCCTAGAATGCATCTGTTTATCTTCTCTAGGTTTAATCATTTCTCTCTATTAATTGTATCTCAGAATCTGTATCTTTATCTCCTATAAATAAGAGAATGATTTCAAACTCTCAAAAACAGTTCTTTATTTTCCTATTTTCTATTTCAAGTGATTATATCATCAACCTAAACAACTAGGTCAACACATTTTCTACAAGAACTCTAATGGTAAAAATCTAAATGATCTACTTCACTATGTTTCATACCAAAATTCTACAGAAAATGGCTAGATTTTCCAAAACAAGCTCTTGGAGATTGTTAAAGCCCATAGAGAGATCGAAGGAGTTGGCAAACAGGATCAAAGTCTCCCAATTAACAAACACGAGAGGTTGCTCGATGTACATCTCCTTAACCAATTCATCATGAAGAAAGACATTTTTAATGTCTAATTGATGGAAGGATCAATGACGAATGGACAGTAATGATTTTACCAAAATAAGAAGTTTCCCCATAATCAAAACCATAAATCTGGGTTATACACTTAGGCCACTAAGTGAGCTTAAAGATGATTAAGCTCACCACCATTAAGACCAACTTTAATAGTTTATACCCATTTGCAACCAACTACCATCTTCCAAGAGGAAGAAGAACCAACTCCCATGAATTACTTTGGTCAAGAACCTGCATGTCAACAATTATGACTTGTTACCATCCAAGATAATCAAGTGTTTCGCAAACACTTTTAGGAACAAAAATGGAAGACAATCAGCTACTTGTCTGAAAGAGGAAAAGGAAGATGGCTAACTTCATTTGGTAAAGCTAGATAGCATAGAAAGAGGAACATCAAAAGATCTTTTATCTTTTTCCATGGATAACATTGATCCACTATCTTTTCTCTGGTTAACCAATTTGGAAGATGCAGCTCCTACCTACTCAAGTGAGGAAGTGAGGTAATAATAGCCTCATTTTTTTGTATTCTTTCACTTAGCCGAATGAAAGTTGCATTGGAAAACCCCTTTGGATAGCTATAGATCACTAATGAGAAAAAGGAATTTAATCACTTGCTAAAGAGCTTGTAACTTTAGAAGCTATAGTCCATGACCCTAGCTTCTAGTCTCAAATCCATACAGAATTTCATGCATGATTTACAATCATTATGTTTCAACTCTAGTATAACATTGAATTTACTCCAAAAAAATTGGTGACAAATATGTTGCAACACTTTACAGAGATATACAAAAGCATATTGTAATAATATTTGAAAAGGAAAGAAAAAGAAGCAGAAACTTGATTTATCAGGCTCATTCTCAAGAAATTTGCCTAGCAACTCAAGGCTGAGATTGAAGAAATGCAGAAAAATCTTTGGTCAACAACACCTTGGTTACCTGGGTAATATAGAAGCAAATTCTGGAGAGGTGAAAAGTTACATTGATCTTTAATTATCCAATGTTGTTTCAAAGATGTACATCTCACTACATCGGGTGACTTAGAATGAATACTCGCTTGATCCTCTAACTCCTGAATAGCTACATTTGAGACCAACGTCAAAAATTGTAAAGATGCATACAAGAGACATGAAAAAATAGACAACTGCCACATTGTTTGCAACATTAGTCATGGAAAATGCACAATTACCTTGGCTTAGAATTTCAAGACTTGCATCCTTCTCATCATAAACTACTGGGCCCCTAAAATTTTTAAACAATATGTAGCACGCACCTTTCTCAATCTATAGATATAAAAAGAATTACATCAAACAAAATGTACATCATAAACAAAACGATAAAAGATAATGTAGTCACTCAATATATGGGAAAGCTATCAAGGACTAAACCAAATAACCTAAAAGCTTAAGTTATTAGATGAAGGTTATTGGCTAGTTTATCTATTAATATATGCCCCCTCATGTAAGAATCCTTTAATCGGAGCATGGATAATACACAAACCCCACTCCCTACCTTATGCCAAAATTCATTTTTATTATTGGGGTGGAAATGACAATGGATCTACAGTAGGCTATACCATCCTAAAATTTTGAACTTCATCTAACTCAACTATATAAAATCAAGTTGTAAGGTGAAGACTATCCAAAGCCTTACAAGGACTACATTAGTCATATCTTTAGTTAATGTGGAATCTTACCACACCCTTTCATGCCTAGAATTAGACATTTAGAACATGGACATTCATCTATCGAGTAACTTTAAAAGTGTTACTCCTTATCCTCATTTTTCATTTTCTTTTAATCTAACTTTTAAAAAGATTAATTACTCATTAGAACCATTAGATTAAAGAAAAATGAAGGAAGAAAATCAAGAGAATGCTTTGTTTGGTAAGAAATAGAAACAGGAAAATTAGGTAGGTTAGAAAAGAAAATTAGTGAAATAGGTGAATAGAGTGGAAATAGAGGTTGTTTATTTCAAAAAGAAATATAAGAAAAATGGAGTAGAAATTAACTTCTAAGCATTATTCAATTTTATATAAATATTATTTATTTTATTATTAATAATATTTATTGATATAATTTATTTATCGATACCAATATATATGAAGGTTATATCCACCTTTTGTGTACACATTTTCTTGACATCTTTGTCCGTAAAATTTTACTTTGTAACAACTGCATTATTTATATTATTCAAAGGATAAAATAGGAAATACCATGAACACAGTATAAACTGCGACAAAGTAAAATGTCCTTGAAATGGTTATGAACTATTCATATAATCCAAACATATAGCTACAATTGAGTGTAACCACTATGCTCTCCAAAGAAAATGCAGATACCCATTTTCACCAATCAGTCATGCACACAAGTACCCTACGCAATGAAGCCTTGGGGGACTATGGCATAGGTTCCTAGGAATTGTAACTAAAATCAAATTGCCACACTTCTATTTCAGGCATGGGACACTCGTATTATCATATAAGAACAATCTATGACGAATCTTGACCATTGATTCTGGGATATATTATTAAAAAATAATAAATACATATAAAAGGGTGAAAGAAGATAAAAAAGGTGAGAGGATAAAATTGTAAATGTATAAGTAAATATATAAAATGATAATTAAGTTTGGGGGGTAAAATCATAAATTATACAAGAGTTACAAAACTGAGAAAAAGTTGAGAGGATAAAATTGTAAATATACAAATAAATATAAGTTTGGGGGGCTAAAATCATACATTACATGGAAATTACAAAACTTTGGGGAGGCCACGGCCCCCTCAATTCCCAAGAAGATCCGCCACTGAGAACAATGGTAATGTCTCTTTGACAGGAAATCATTTGAATAAAAACAATCAACAACCTAAGACAATCAACAATGGTAATGTCTCTTTGTGGCTAGGGGTATTTTGGCAAAAAACTAAACAAACAAAATTCATTTTGATAGAAATTCTAGTCTTCGCATGCAACAAGTTTTAATGCATGTCAAGGGATTTACCTCACCTTGGCAAATGTCTGCTGCGACAACAAAATGGGGAATGTTATATTTTCTGCCATCAGTAACTGCATTAGGTGTACTTGATCAGAAGAAGGATGAATTACTGTCAAACCCAAAACATTAATATTAGGGAACCTGCCACAAAAATATATTTTAATTATCACAAAAGTCCATTCTTATAAAGTGAGGATATAAAGTGAGGAGAGAAAAATATAAGTTTTGTATACCTCTTTTGAATTTTCTTTAATTTTTCAAGCGGAATATCACAGCTGAAATTCCTTGCGGCAAGAACTAAAAATATTCCATCGGCTCCAGAAAGTTGGTCATTTTTGTCAGATCTATTTAACCAATAATGATGGATCCCTGCATTTTTAAAGAAAGAATAAATTATGTAATAAGAAATGTAGAGAGGGTGGATTATTTAACTAGTGAATCTAAAACTAGTAACAATTGTGCCTTAGAATTGAACTAGTATAGTAGCAAAAAAAAATAAAAAAATCAGTGCATATAATTTAAAACTAAAAAGTATAACTGAGCAAAAAAACATTTCTGTGAACTGAAAAGTATAAAATTAGCAAGTCATAGATGGCAAAAGAAGAAAGTTCTAAGATAGAACCCTCATATCAGTGTCAACGACGGAAGCATGTGGTTCAAAATTTTAATGAAGCAAAAAGAAGTTGCTCATCAAAACAAGACACAAGCTTCAGAATATAAGATTATATAACTAACACTCAAAAATATGAATTTGAAAAGCTCAAAAAATTTTAAGAATATGACAGGGCCTACACTAGAATAACAAATAGACTACCTTCAGATTCATCAAGTGAAGCCTTAACGAAAGATAAAAGATCAATTTCAGTGGCAGGTTCATGCAATTTAACAGCCATTGTTGAGATCCTGAATAAGACTGCCGATCAGAAGTCAGGAAACCTAACAAAGCTTGAAAATACTAAATTATGATGCTCAAAATTAAACATTCAAAAGAATTCAGAGAATAGACATTTTGTAAACTGTAAAGTGTATCATATTATTCTTTGATTGAGTTAATATACTCAAGTATATACAATCTGATAGCTTAAGCTCCAAACCAGTTAGTTAAGATCTAATGTAATACAACAGACTCGAGCTGTTCTAACAGAATGACAGCAGGCAAATTACATGGTGCTTACTCAACAACACTGATTCAGCTTAACATACTAGTTAATACAGTAAAACTGATACAGAGAATAGTCTAACGCTTAAAATGATACATTCATGAATGATGACTGATGCTGCAATTTATGCTGTCAGTCACTAAGAGTAGTCACCTGTGTTTATGAAACCCTCTCACTTGAATCCAATTAGCAGTTGGCTTCTGAGCAGAAGGCATGTGCATTATAGACAAAGCCACTAAATGTAAAGCTTTGCTAGATTGCTGGCAGAGACCTAGAGAGGGGGAGTGAAAAGTAAATAAATAATCAAGTTAAAATTGGTTCAGGAAACTAATCAATAAGCGCAAACAAAGACATAAGGTAGAATAATCAAAACTTACATGCCACATTCATAATTCTAATAACATTTAAGAAAACAAAACATTCTCTGGCGATCCACGAGAGGATGCACACAGTCAAAACACAAAGGAACTCTCAACCATCGATTAACAATTATACAGCCAGATTAACATCTGTAATTTTGTGCTGATATACTGAATCTATAGTTTTACAAATGTGAAATTTTGGTTGAATTAAAATTTAATTGTGCATTTGGCCTGGTAATATGTAAACTCATTACTAACAGAAATTACAGAAATTATGGATTAGCTTTGATGCTTTGTCAGTGTTATTGATATTAGATAAGGGAAAATATATAGGCTCCCATAACTATGTCGGAAGCATTTAGAATTTAATGTTCAAGCAGCCATATATTCTTATGCGTGGAAGATGAGAAGTGCAGAATTAGTGGGTCACAAAATAACCCGTTTACTAAACTGTTTTTTCTTTTTTGCTTGTTGCAGGTTCGAATTTTTTTTCCTATTGGGCTGAGGCCCAAAATAACCCACAAACTCAAAACACATCAAAAGAACCTAGGTTTGGTTTAAGCCGGGTCGGGTCAACCGCCTAAACTTGTTCATCCTCTGAACTGTGCTGGCTGCCTGCGGCGGCTTCCTCTGGACTGTGAGGCTGTGGGAGCGCGATTTTCGCAACTACCGCGCCGCCGTGCCGCGAGCCGCGACAGCCAAATCGGCTGCCATGGGCCACCATGAGAAACCTGCTTCGCCACCGCCTTAATGTGGCGGCAGGTAAAAATTCCGCTACCTATTAACGTCATGGCGCTGCCATTGCCGGTTTTCAATAACACTGTGTTTTGTTCATTGACTCGATTATGGTCTCATATCTTAAAAAACTATGAAGGATTAATTCCACTTAACTCCAAAAACATACAATTTTGGTCCTCATACTAGTTTATTACACATTTGGCTCTCAAGTTTTTCAAAAATTGTGCAATTTCGGTTCACTATATCGTTCAATTATCGATTGCGTTGAATTTTGAAGTGCAGAAGAAAAGCCGAATACCAACCGCATACGCACCTGTGTGAATAACTGGTGACAGGAATTTCGAGAGTCCATTCGTAAGGCGATGCCTCAAAGCCATGTCTCTGTTCCGATAGTATGTGATTATGAATGGCACTGCGACACAACTGTGATGTGGTTGGTTTTAAGGTTCCGTGGTTTCAATGAATAGTAATGCGATAGAGGTGAACCGGGTTTAGGGTTTAAAGTTAAAAGGTGGGGGAAGAAAATGGAATGCTTTTAAGCGAGTATGTATCAAAATCGACCCATGTGGGACTGATCTATCAAATACTAAGTGTAATAAATGTAATAATTTTTATTTATTGATTCTCAAAAAAAAATATTAGTATAAAAAGACTAAAATATTTGAAAAAATATATATATAAAAAATAACACTTTTCAATTGGTACGAAAGATTAGAATTGTGGTTTCTATATAAAAGCATTAGATGTTCAATTTTTTTATTTTTTATTTATTAATACTTTTATTTCATTCTTTAAGTGCATTGTTCTTATTTTATAAGAATCAAATTTGTAAAATAAATATTAGGTCAATTTATGATGTTTTAAAAGGTAGAAAAGAATATTTATATTATAATTATTATATAAACGGAAGAGTTATATTTTTCAATGAATTTATATAAATTAATATATAAATTTTAAATAAATTTACCTAAAAGAAATATAGATATTTTTTAACATTAATAAAAGAATATATTGAAATTCGTATAACTCTAAAATTGTTATAACAATAATCTTAAAAATAGGGAGATAATAAGTGAAAAAATAAGTTATACCAAAATTAATTTAACAAATAATTTTGTTCTTACTTCATTTGGGTAGAGTATCACAAATCAATTGAAATATTAAGTTACGTAATTAAAGAACATGATAATTTTTTAGTTGAATGGTTACTACAAGAAAATTACGATGATGAATTTACCTATGGATTTATATTTGTAGATACATTTTAAATTACCTAAGGATTTTATCTACGGATTTTTATCCATATATAAAATTATACATTATAATAGTTTGTAAGTATTATCAGTATGTAATGTTGGCACGTTTAGATGGTGGCACGTTTAGATGGGAATGTTTTCGAATGATGAAATCCGTAGATAATAACAATAAAATTGGTATGTAATAAAGTCATACTTTACATACTGATATTATATACGAATTTTATTAAAAAATATGATTGAAAAAATAATTCCACTTGCTATCTTTTTTTTAAAAAAAAAGGTAAAAATAATAATTACACTTCTGAGCCACGGCCTCCACTTTCTAGCCCTAACTCCCTTTGCCTTACTCTTCTTCCCTGTTCCATGCAGCTTCTTCCCTGTGGAGCAACCCCCACTCTTCCTGCACCTTCACTTCCCCTTTTCCCTCATTCCCTTTTCCCTCTTCCCTCTGCCTCACTCTTTTCTCCCTCCTCTCAACAACTCAGCCACCCACACCCCTCTTTTCCAAGCACCCCTCATTGAGCTCCATTTTCCTCAACCCTTTCACTTGAACTCCACGCCCCCGACCACAACCACGCATTATCCGTTGTCCCTGGTTCTATCCACGCAGTTAGTAGCTGCGAGACATCCTCTCACCCGTGGACCCCCCCTGCGGAACCCCGTCTTCACGGTCTCCATTGTGAACCTCAGACGCGACTTTTACAACCATCTTCACCGTGCACCACCACTATGAGGTTGTCGTGCACCTCATCGAGTCGTTGTCGCGCCTCCCAGCCTTTGCTGCGAACCCTAGTTGCAGTCGCTAACTCACCTTAACCCAATCCCCACCAAGCATCCCTCACCTCACCCATTTCGTATACGCACCATCAGCATCCTTCGACCAACCTCCCGTTAGCAACCCATTTCACCACCGCTTCGACCTTGGCCATGGGTCTCTCCACCTCGTTATACTCCTTTCCAACGACCTAACCAAACCACCGCGTCCCCTATCATCCCTAGTCGTTCGACCAACCTCCGGAGCTACCGTGAAACTCCATCTTCGTGCCTCCACCACAATCCTAGCTCGCACTGACACCTTCTCCCTCACCTTCTTCGCGGCCTCTACATCACAGCGAAACCCACATCGCATGTCCACCGTTATCACCCCAACCCAATCATAGAGCCCTGGCCATGACTCACGCCCCCTAGCCACTGCAGGTCAACTTGGAGGTTGGTGGTTAGAAGTAAGGGTCGCGGGCCTAAGTTTCCCTTTCTCTTTTTATTTTTTGTTTACGGTTCGTGATTTGAGTTTGGTTGTTCTAATTGTTCTATTTGAGTTTGGTGATTCTGATGGTTTTTGAAGCGCATCTTGTTTGATATGTTTCATTTGGTTTGCCTGATTTATGATCGGTTCTTCGATTTAAACTGAGTTTTTACTGGATCTGTGGATTATCAGGTTCGGGGCTTAACTGAGTTGTAAATATCTGGTTGAAATATTTGGTATAGGGTTGTGATTGGGCAGTTCTGGGTTTGGACTCACTTCTGGTGTGGAGTTAAGGCACGAGTCTGATTGGGGATTGTGGATTGTTATCACTGTAGTTTGGGTCTTAATGAGAGAGTTTGATTATGTTTATTTGATTATGGATTGGGTTTGTTCGCTAAGTCTAGATTGTTGTAATCGGGTCTTGGATGTCCTTCTCTGCTTTTGATTGGATTATGTTAATTGGATTTTTGGTGTCTTCGTGACCTTTGTGTTTGGTTTCGTGTGAATGGTTTAACATTGTGGTTGTCCAATTTTGTGGGATTAACTATAGTTGGTTTAGTCATGCTTATTTGGGTTTGCCCTGTTGCGTTGTTAGGTTTGTGTATGATTACCTCTGTTAGGTTTGTGTTCATTTTGGTATAGATCGTGGGTTCGTTAGAGGTTAATTTGGGTTATTGTCATTGAACAGACGTGTGCAGGTTTTGAGATCACTTCTTTTGTTTCACTAGTGAATGTTTTGTCATCATAATGAGCTGATGTTGTAGGCTATAGATCTATGCATTTATGAAGAGTATAGTGTGTAACTATATTGTAGTTTGTACTGTAGTGCATTCCGTAAATGTTAAAAACACATCTTTTGGATCTATCTAGTATCATGAATGTATTCTTTAACTAGTCATATATTGATTTGAATATTGGCCTTTTGGGTTCCTTTATGTCTCTTTTTTCTTTTCTTATTTCTTCTCTTTTTTCTGCAGATTTTATGAGTTTTTCCTTAAACGTGAAAAATTGAGAGAGTTCTGAATTGAAGACCAATAAGGAGGTGCCCCATTCATCTTGTGCTGGTATTATTTAACATTCAACATATTTATATTGTTGTATATATTCTCAAACTTTTATTTTTGTTGACTATTGACCTTGGTGAAATGGAAATGTTATAGGACCACTCTCAACCTTTGACAAACCTTTGATTGTGTGTGCACAATTGTCTTGGATTTAATAAAGTTAAAAATTATTTGGAATAGTTGATGTCAAAACCTGCCACAACTGGTAGCAATATCCTTTCAATCTTAGTCATTATATTTTACAGAGGAAGGTGACATGGAGATCTAAGGATGAGGAAAGAATTAAGAAAAATTTCCACTCCAAGGCTTCACATAGACTTTCAGAGATGTTTAAAGAGGCTAGAAGAGAAGTCAAGAAGTCTGATTGGATTGGAAATAATATCTAGAACAACCTCTTGGAACAGTGGAACATGCCTCTATATCGATCAAAATGTGATACAACAAAGAAAAATCGGGCATCCGATAAAGGGGGAAGTTTGCACACCAGCGAATCAATTAGTGTGCACGAACACGCCATGCGTTTGATATGAATTTTTCAATATTTTTTACCATTCATTTATGATGTAACAATTATTTGGTAAAGACATATTTTATGATTTTTTTTATTCAGACAGAGGAGCTCAGTCGCTCAATCCATGTAAATGAAGTTTTTCAACAGACGCATACAAGAAAGAGTATTGGCGAATTCATCGATGATAGGTCTAGGCGGACACATGTGAGTTTCTTTCATTAAATCTTAAAGTTTGTTATTATTTAAAAGACACATGTACAAATTGTCTTGTTTGAATAGGAAGACTTTGAGAGTAGATATTCTCGAGTATTGTCTGAGTCAACTTCTAATGTGGGTGCTTCACAATGCACTCCCCTAGACCCTGTTGAAGAGGAAAGGCTAAGGAATATACGTTGGTTAGAGGTTGTAGGAGGAAGGTATAAGGGACACGTGTATGGAGTTGGTTATGTTGACTTTAGTGATGATTGTGTTGAAAGTGTATCTATAACAGACAGAAGCGTGCTCCAATCAGAAAGCAGATTCATAGAAAATTAATCAACTGACACAACGACTGGAAAGTAGTGAGCAGCGATTGGAAAGTAGTGAGGAAAAGATTCATATCATGAGTTCCCCAAGTTCGAGTCCATCCAGGCATTTATTGGCGCAGTCCTTCGATACTTACCACCTCTAACAGCAGCGGTAGCACAAAATATTTTGCAACAACCAATTAATCAAGATAATGGAGATCAAGAGAAGGTTGCAGAGCCAAATACCGAACAACAAAATCAAGATCAACAGAAGGATGCAGATGATGATTACATGGATTATTAGCATTTTAGGAAATTGTATTGGATATGATTCATTATATTTGGATATATTAGACATTTTTATTTTGTATTGGAACAATAAATTGTTATGTTATTTTATATATCATTTTATTTTTTCTGTATCTAGATAAATTTATATATCATTTAATGTCTAGGTCAATGCAATCAGAATAATGTAAAAAAAAATGGATAGTAGTAAATACTTCATACAGATATATCCGTAGGAAATTCCTTACGGATATTGAAAATCCATAGGTAATTATTACCTATGAGGGATTTACCTACGAATTTTTGTCCGTAAGTAATTTGTATGTAATCTAAATTTACCTACGAATTTTTTTGCTTACCTACGAATTTCTGTTGTAGGTAATCACAAATTTTCTTGTAGTTTTTTCTACTTTAAATTAGATATCTTTTAATCAAAATAAATAAATAATTGCAAAGTAACTTTTATCTTTGCATATCTTTTATTTCAAATAAATTCTTACATCTTATCCTAAATTGTAATTTAATAATATATTTGCTTGAATTAATTAAAATAAATTATAAATAATTAAAATTACTTCCAATATTTTATTATAAAGTATTTAAATTTTAGGATTAGATTAAAATTTATATATTTCAAAAGAACAAGTTAATTCTTTCACTTAATATTTTAGACCATCTATAATTGACTATTTTCAAAACACATTGAAAAAAAAAATTTCTATTTGTATTCTTTTTTTAGAGTTTGTCTATTTGTATTCCAACACGTGTACATTGGGAAAATCTTTGTTTCTTTGTAGGATGAAAAACAATAAAATAATAATAATGTGGTAAAATGAAACAACAGATATATTATTAAAATCCAACCTTACAAGTAGGTGTTTTAAAATAGATAATTATAATAAACCCACTCATAATAAGAGTAATTTTTTTTTTTACAAAGACTTTAAACAATCCCCTTCAAAGTGAGATCAACAGAAAAATCAATAAAAGCTTGGACGATAAAAGGGTGTAAGTTCTGTGAGTTGTACTCAAGATATTGGCTAAAAAGTTCATTCATGTTGTTAGATTTTGCCAACTCAGGGTAAACTTCAATCAACTCTTGGATGGATCGTCGAAAGTCTTCATAAGGGTTATCTGAGTCTTGTTCCCACAACGAAACCCTTTTTTCAATTGCCTTCATTCGTGACTGATACGTTGGTGGTGACATTAATGTGGTGAGGGAGTCACCAACAGTGCTAATGGTGTCATCGAGAGAGTGGGTGGAGTTACTCATAGAGTTAGTCGAGTTGACTTTGGTTGAAAGAGCACAAACATGAAGATAAATGAGATTGAAAATAACATGCAAAAGAAGAACCAAAATGAAAACGAACAAGAAGAGTGTGATGATGATGATGATAAGCCACATCGTGATGAACTCCATTTTCATGAAATGTCTTTGCAAATGCAATGTGAATATAAGGTTTTTCATTTAATTTTAATGTAATTAAATTTAATGTTAGCCTGAAATTTGATGATATAATTTAATGTAAAATTTTCATATTTTCACTGTGGTATAATTACACAAATAATCCTCTTAACATTATTTATAAATGATTATTAATAAATTTTGAACGAGGAAGACCACACATTTAATATATTAATTATTAATTAGGTAATATTAATTAAGAAAATCATAATTTCAAGGTCTTTTAATGGGAATAATAAATAAAAAAATTAAATACATACGAAAAGAATAATATACTCCCTGAAATTTTACTGTGTATATCTCAGATATATTTTCAAGAATTATGTTAGTTAACATATAATTAACGTCAATAAGATAATAATCAATCTCATAAAATCAATCGAAAAAATCCCTAGAAAGTAAATAAAATTAGGCTTAGCGGAAACGATAACAAATACATATAAAAAAATACCCCACACATATTTTAAAAACGTTTACTATTCATGAAGAAAAGTATTACACAAAATTATACTTTTAATGGAAAATATTTAATAACAATATTCTATAATTTAATTAAAACTAATTAAGGCTATTAAGTAATTGTGAGTACAAATGTAGGAGTACCTATTAATTTACTGTATTTACAAGAGCAATTAAATTATTATATCCATTCACAGTATTTTAATTCTATTTTCTTGAAATTTTTGAATTCAAGTTTATCTTCTAAATTTATAATCAATTTCTATAATTTATTTATCATTCATTGATTTTAAATTTATCCATAATAAAATTCATGGGAGTTCTATTTCACACATGTATCACGTTAGCTCCTCAGTTTGTGTAATCACAAGTGGGTTCTTGATTAACTAGTGATCAATGTATTGTCACGTCAACCCATGAGCACAATAAATTACATGTGACGATCTTAAATTTAGTGATTATGACTTGATTATCTTAAATTTTATAATTGTGAATTAATCATATTTAATTTTGTGGGTGGGACATGACTATATTAAGTATGATGGTTGGAATATGATAATTTGAATTTCATATAAATACCAAAGGCAGAAACTTCATTATTCCATCTATCTCTAAATCTCTCCTCCACTTTTCTTTGAAACTCTCTCCGACCTATCTCTAAAACTTTGGCTCATTTTCATATACAAAATCATGTCTTCATAAATTGCCCTTATTTATTGTGATGGTATCATGGACTTCATCAACATCGAAGGAGTCCCATTTCAATCACCAGTATCGCAACTTCTTTCTATTAGGAAAAGAATGTCCATACAAAAATTAAAGAAGAAGGTCATTTATGTGTTACACAAACGACCTCATGAAAGGATGGGAACGATTCACTTTCGCTACCCACCGAGGCTCAGTGCAGGGGTATGCAAGTACAAGGTCATTAAGCTTACTAATGATGATGACAAGGCTCAGTGCAGGAGTATGCAAGTACAAGGTCATTAAGCTTACTAATGACGATGACATCAACATCATGGTCGACATTTTCAAATCTAAGGTGTATTTATAGGAGATTCATTTTGTCAAGTCACAACCACCATATCTAATACGGTCAAGTTCCAACCACCATACTTAGTACTGTCACATTCCAATCACCAAATTGATTATGATCAATTCAGAACCCTAAAATTTAAGACGGTTAAGTCATATCCACTAAATTTAAGATGGTTAAGACACAACCATCAAATTTAAGAAGGTTAAGACACAACCGTCAAATTTAAAACAGTTAAAATATAACCACCAAATTTAATATAATCAAAATCCAACCACCAAATTTAAGACAATCAAAGTTCAACCACCAAATTTAACATGATCAAGTCAAGTCACACCCAATTTGATGCACGCTCAATCCAAGTGATGATATGACACATAAATCGAGTGACATGACAAGTCACTAAAATACACATAAATTGAGGAGTTAATGTGACAAATAGTGACCAAGGACTTGACATGGCACACACATGAAAAAGATCTCACATGCACTTTGTTGCGCTTGCGGATCAAGGACGTAACAACACATCGACCATGAGTCAGTCAAGGACCTAGTTTAACCATATACTAACTAAGAAGCTTATGTGACTCACGTGTAGAGCAAAACTCACATGCACTCTACTATGCTCGTGGATCGATGACATGACGACACACCAACACGAAATCAGTCAAAGACATAATCTAACCACACCCTGATTGAGGAGCTAAAGTGGTACACAAGTGAGAGTAAACTAACATGCACGCTATTCTGCTCGCGAACCGAGGACATGACAACACACTGACCACAATTCAGTCAAAGACCTAATATGATCACACACTAACTAAAAAGCTGATGCGGCACACGCATGGAGCAGAACTGGGATGCACTCTGCTGTACTCTTGGATCGAGTACGTGATAACACACTACTCTTGAGTCGGTCAAGGATTTAGTTTAACCACACACTGACCGGGGAGCTAACGTGGTACACACGTGGAGTAGAGCTCGTATGCACTTTGTTGTGCTCACGGATCGAGGACATGATAACATACTAACCACAAGTCAGTCAAAGATCTAGTATGATTACACACTGACCAAGGAGCTGACATGGCACATGCGTTTGGAGCATAACTCGCATGCACTATATTATTCTCGTGGACCGAGGACATGACAACATACTATTATGTTAGTATTAAGATCTAGTATGAGCATATGCGTGGAGCATAGCTCACATGCACTATATTGTTCTCGTTGATCGAGGACATGATAATATACTATTCTCGAATCAATCAAGGACCCAGCCTGACCACACACTGATCGAGGAGTCAACATGACACACGCGTGGAATAGAGTTCGCATGCACTCTATTTTGCTCGCGGATGGAGGACATGACAACACACTATTCTTGAGTCAATCAAGGACCTAGTCTGACCACAAATTGACCAAGGAACTGACATGGCACACACGTAAAGCAAAGCTCGCATGCACCCTACTGTGCTCATAAACCGAGGATGTGATAACAAATTGTTCTCGAGTTAGTCAAGGATCCAGTCTGATCACACATTGACCGAGGAGTCGACCAAACACACCCATGGAGCAGAGCTCCCATGCACTCTACTATGTTCACGGATCTAGGGCGTGACAACACACTGACCACGTGTCAGTCAAGGATCCTATCTAACCACATACTAACTAAGGAACTAACGTGACACATAGGTGGAGCAGAGCTCACATGCACTCTGTTGTGCTAGCGGATGAAGGACATGACCACACTGACCATGAGTTAATCAAAGACCAAGTTTAACAACACAATGGCCGAAGAGATAACATGACACACACATGGTGCAAAGTTTGCATGCACTATGTTATGTTCCTAGATTAAGAATGTGAAAACACATTGACCACATGTCAGTCAAGGATCTAATTTAACCACACACTAATTGAGGAATTGACATGACACACACGTGGAGCAAATCTCACATGCATTATACTATGCTCGTGGACTAAGGATGTGACAACACACTGACCACAAGTAAATCTAGGACCTAGTCTTACTACACATTGATTAACATGACACATGCGTGGATATCTTTTGTTGCCTATAAATTGCATAAGGTATTCAACATTTCTCACTAATAAATTTATTGAGTAGAGTATCAAATTGAAGAAAGTTTCATTCAAGAGAAAATGGTGTTTATCGAAGAACTTAGTGTTTATAATTCATTTAATGCTTGCATTAGTTATGAGGGTGATTATAGTTTTTGCACTCTCTCTTTCAAAATTTCACTGATTCATTTGAAGAATTGGATCCAACACGAGGCAACTTTTATAGACTGGAGGCCAATCATGAATATGTTATACTGAAAACCATCATTGCATGATGTTCGTGTTCAAGAGTCAATAGAATTAACAATTGAATATGATGTTGAAGAAATGGTATAATGACATTTGCAGTTTCCTCACCATGTGACGATGAAATTGGTTGTGAAAATTATGAACCCGAAGACGCCTAACATGGACATTCCCATGGATCAAAGTGGGGGAATACAAAATATTCTAGACCCTCTACAAGATGAATTTTACTTTTGTTATAGATTGTTACTACTCTGGTGTAATTTTTGTTATAGGCTTATGTGGTTTTGTATTTTCTCAATGCTTTAAGTTTCAACTTTGAGTACTTTTTATGTTCCATGATTTTGTATTTTTCATGTTTCAATGCACTATGTTATGTTAATGTGTCATCTTCAGCTATTTTTTTTTTTTACTTTGTATTTATTTGTCTTCATTTTATTTTTTATTTAAATTTGTTACCATTAAATTTGTTATCATGAAAATTATAGATGAATGCTAAAGATCATAATAAGTAATGTTATGAAGGTGCATAATAAAGCTCATCAAAACCTTAAAGTGATAAATTATGTAACGATTCGATTTTTTTTTCGTCACTTTGAATTGATTTTTCTTCATTTTAACGTTTTTTCACTTAAATTTGTTACCATTGAATTCATTGTCGTGAAAATTATAGACCATGGCCAAAGTTCATACTAAATAATGTTGTATAACGTGTCATTTTTTTAGTTTGTTTTGCTATTTTAGATTGATTTTTCTTCATTTTAAAAATATTTTTTCCACTCAAATTTGTTATCATTCAATTCTTTGGCGTGAAAATTATAGCCTAATGCCAAATCGTACTAAATAATGTTATGAATGTGTAAAATAAATTTCACCAAAACTCCAAAGTGATAAGTTATGTAAGTGTCATTTTTTATTTTCTTTTCGCTAATTTGAATTGATTTTTCTTCATTTTAACATTTTTTTCACTCAAATTAGTTACCATTGAATTCGTTGTCGTAAAAGCTATAGACCAATGCCAAAGATCATACTAAATAATGTTATTAAGGTTCCGAATAAAGTCTACCAAAACCCAAAATTGATAACTTTTGTCCATGGTAAGATTCCTCTAATGCACACCTTAACACACATT